GGTATACCCAGTGGTTTGCGTATTATTGATAAAGGATTCCACTATCAAGAAGAAAATAACCCCAAACACTCGTCCAACCTATGCAGAAATTACTTAGCTAAGAAAGAAGCTACTGGAGTCATTCAAATGATGCAATGGCTCCCACAGAGCCCCGATCTTAACCCAATTGAGTAGATCTGGGACTTGATAGCTCAAAAACTTGAAAAATCAAAAGTGGGGTGTATTAGAGACACTTGGAGTAAAATCCCAAAGACACTTTGATTAAATATGTTGCAACAATGCCTGAAAGACTGTCTGCAGTTATCAAAGCAAAAGGGACACACAAAATATTAAATGTTTTCTGAACTCAAGCACTTTCACTGAGTTTCTGTTGTATTAGATATGAAGATTAATAAGCTTTTGATGTCTCACCAGGGATATTCCTTCCATTGTTCTTTGAAAGTAGCCCGAAATCTAATTTTTGACTTTGTCCTAACACTTTTGCACAGTACTGTATTTAAAAAAAAATTTAAGATTAAGTTTGTCGACCAACTAACCCTATAAAAAGGCAGTTTTAGTTAAATAATCAAATTGCTTTTAATGGGATTTCTTTATTGCTATGTGTTGCCCATAAGCATCAGCTTATAAATAACATGACTGATGAGTTGCGTTCCAAGCGGGAGAAGTTAAGATAATGTTATTTAGAGATGATAATCAATCTAAGATTTCGTTTTAGGTCACCACGTGCTCATTATCGCCACACGATTACAGCTGAGGAACAAGAAGAATCTAAATTGCCTTTTTTTTAGATCTAGAGGTTATCAACCTGAACAACAGGTTAGAAATTATATACTACCACAAATCAACATATTACGGTCTGTACTACATTCATACCTGATTGTTACAAAATTTACTTAATAAACATTTTAATTCATAGAGCGTATAAATTTACCAGCTCATATTGCAACTTTCATGATGAAGTAATCGGTATTAAAAATACTTGATCAAAAATGCTTTCCCTCTAGCATTCATCAACAAAAGTATTTTTGAATATATTATAAATGTTTACAATTCCTAAATGCCCTGTCGCCTTGGTGTTACTCTTCTCTAGTTCTCCTGGCATCAAACTAATAAGAAAAACTAAGAACATTGTGCAATCAACTTATCTCCAAGTCAGCCTAAGAGTAATCTTCAAACCGAACAAAATAAATAACATATTTACTGGTGTATAAGACGATACTTTTTACTCTTAAAATAATGTCTGATTTTACCCCTCGTCTCATACACAGGTTTAAATACAAAAGTTCCAGTAAGGACTCTACGGTTAATAGCCCATTTAACTAAACTACGTGTTACTTTTACTTTGCTTTTTGAGTAAGGGCGTTGCAATAACATATTTGTAATTGTATCATTTGTCTCGATTCTTCATAACTAGAATTTATTTATCTCACACGCTAGTTAAAATTAATCAAGACATTTTTTATTTAAAATGTATTGATCTCATCCTTCATACTAAAATATTGCTAATATTATATATAAAAAAAGTTAGTTTCTGTAACGTACACTAATTTTGTAAACATATTTTTATAGTAGATCACTATATCGTAAGGTTTAGTATTTTTTTGTAATAGAAAAAAAAGAGTGCAACTGTGATTAAAACTTTGTAAAGTTGTTTATGCCACATTGAGCTGTCTAGCTCTTTAAGAACATAAAAACCACACTTATGGTTGTATTGATTACTCCAGAGCACAGGTTAGCACAGTTTAAAAATAACTTCTAAGAAGAGCTTTACAAAAGTTACGTCCTAGACTTGCTTGACAATAGAGGTCGTCCTATACACCGAACCTCAAAAAGAAATACACTTAATTTACTCATGGGATCGTCTTATACACCGACAAATATGGTATGCAAATTTTCCCTTTTCAAACACAAAATCAATAAGTGAAGGAATAATATATTCTTTTACAGATATTAGATAATTAAGGATTTCATTTTAGCTCACCACATGTTTATTACCATCACAAAATGATTAACAAGTGAAGAAATGATGTTTGTTATTACAGTTAATAGATAATCTAGGATTTCATTTTAGCTCACCACATGTTCATTACCATCACAAAATGATTAACAGGTGAAGAAATAATGTTTTTTATTACAGTTAATAAATAATCTAGGATTTCATTTTAGATCAACACATGTTCATTACCACCACAAAATGATTAACAGGTGAAGAAATAATGTTTTTTTTTATTATAGATAATAGATAATCTAGGATTTCATTTAGGTCACCTCGTGTTCATTACTGCCGCACAATGATCAGCAGGTAAAGGAATAACGTTTTTTTTGTTGTTTTTTGCAGATAATAAATAAACAAGGATCCCATTTTAAGTTACCACGAGTTCATTATCACCACACAATGATCAAGAAAGCTTTTAGACAACCCTTTAAACGCTGTTGGATTTGAAAAGCAAAAACGAACTCAATGAAATTGTAAGTTATCACTCTTATTATTTGTAAATGACTTTGTCATATAGAACTGAGAACGTCATTTCATTAAACACTATTTTGTACTATACTGGATTATCCAATAAATTGTCTTGTTGCACGTCTTCTATCATATTTTTCAAACTTATGAAATTCCTTTACCAAAAAACGGGCCGCTGTCGTTTATCTATATAGATTTTGCCTCTATTGCCGTTATTTATTCAGTGTAAAACACACGTCAACTGCCCCTAAATATTAACAGTAAATTACAATCTCTTGTCATACTTCATTACATTAAATGCATGTATTAAAAACAGTAGTAGTTTTTTTGCTCCGAAAAGTACAGCAGAAAAAAATAAGCAGCCAAATAAACTACCACATTGATAACTTTTACAGATATATAATATGAATGTAAACAACTCATTTTTTTTGTCTTAACCTGTTTATGGACATTATATTACTTTTGAAAGAAAGGAACCAGAGTATATAGACTCAAACTATATTACATGCTTGTTAATAATTTTTAATCAACATCCCGTGGTAGAATAGCGGCAAGTCTACGGACTTACCACTCTAAAATCCAGGGTTCAATTCCCCGCAGATATCTCAATGTGGCTTCGATCTAAAACGAACCAACAATCCCGATCAAATATGCGAGATATAAATGTAGAGCATCAAATACACTGGCCTGCGAAGTTAAACTTCATAAAAGTTGTTTTAGTTTTAATAACGGACTTTCCATAATTCAGCTACACAGATTTCGAAAGTAATATTCTTTTTTTTTTCTATCACGTAAGGATTTTTTTAGAAATCGGGAAGAAAAAGCTTTTACTTAGGTCAACTTATTATTGTGTTTACCACAATGAATTTTTTTTATTATTATGTTTGTTAACAAAAATACAAACAAACTGAAGAAAATCATCCTGATTTTGTTTGTGTGAAATCTACGTCTTTTAGTCTCAAAACTACGCGTTGTGGTCTT